GTATAATCCTGCTCGCATCCTGTTTCTTTAGTTTTTCTAAATATAACATGGTGTGTTCCTTCTATAGAGAGAGGAACACGGCAATTAGTTCCTTGCTCTAAACACCCCTAGGTTGTTAGACATCCCCTTCCCATTTACTTATTTAAAATATTCATTGGTTCCTCTTTTGGATTAAGCTCTGCTGGCCACTGGGATTCAGTGGCAAGTAAATAAGGTAAACATGATCCCTGGGCTCTGACAATCTGATAAATTGAACAGAGGGTTCCATTCTCAGCCAGTGCTAAAATAATTGGTACTTACCATGTATGTGTTAATGAATTCATCTCTCAAGGTTTACTTTTGCCAAGTGGCAATCTTCTAGTCACAGTGATTTCCAAGAAATCTTCCATTTCCCTCTCAGTGTAGGCTACTATCAGGGAAACCCACAGCAAGACTGAAAGGAGGAGAAATCACCCTTTAAAAACATTCTGGTAGCCCTGGCCAGGTGGCTCAGTTAGTTGGAGCGGTGTCCCCTACACCAAAAGGTGGCAGGTTCAAATCCAGGTCAGGGCACCTACCTAGGTTTAGGGCTTGATCGGGATGGGGGGTGTGCAGGAGGTGGCTGATCAATGTTTCTCTCTCACATTGGTGTTTCTCTTTCTCCCTTCCTCTTTCTCTAAAAATCAATAAAGAGACATATCCTTGAGTAAGGATTTAAAAAAACGTGTTGAATGAGTGAATGAATTTTCAAAAGCAGAAGAGCAATGTGGCTTTGCTTTAGAGTGACTGGACTAGATGTCAGCATTCATGGATTCTGTTGTGGCCCATTCCTGACCTTCTTGGACTAAGCCCTTTGTGGACTTGAGCCCCATGGCAACCACAGCAGCAGCCTCCCAGAGGCTCTGAGGCTAGGAATGGGCAAAGGTCACTGGTACTTGAGGGCTATCGCCCACACTCCCCAGGGCTTTGTTGCCAAGGTGTTTGTTTCATATGACTACTGAGGTGATAGGCCTGAAAGGGCTACAGCAAAATCATGAAGAATTCTTGCCTCTTACAGCTTTTATACAACATGCTTTTCTCTAAGAGTGATGGGGATTTTCTGGATTTTACAATTGCCAAGAGTCAAATAAATGCAATTTGAAGAAAAGGAGCTGGTTTGTACTTAAAGTCCCAACCATTCGGATTTCTCTGCCTCACTTACCTCTTCCAGTAAACCCAGTACAGATGGGTTCAGCTGGTCAGGCTGGACCCAGGAAGAAGCCAGTCATTTAGGTAGCAAAATTCTGGCAGAGGGCCGAGTGGGGACTGAAATCCCCCCTGGCTCCACTCTGAGCCCTGGCTGTGTCTGTCTGGGATGGAGGCATCTTTTTCTAACCCACACAAAGGCCTAGAGGGGTGCCTTTTTCTACTTGCACAGACTATGCCTTGTGGGTTAGTAGTGGTGATAGTGATGGTGATGGGGGGCTTTCTGGGGACACTGACCAAAAAGCTGGGATATAAAAGAAGTCTTTGCATTCAACCAAAAGCTGAGTGGGACTCTAGCACCCCTCAATGTATTTACAAAGAGCACCTAAGCTCCCTGGATGTCTCCCCCTTGTTCCAATTTCTAGCCTAGTCATTGCCAAAGTCATGCTCAGCCCTTGGGGAGTCGCCTGCCCTAGACTTCTTGCCTGCCCTCCTTCCCACCAGTCCCCTGGGATACCTTCCAAGCGTACCTCGATGTGCCCTAGATACCGTTCAGCAGTTATGAATCAGGCCATAGGTTCAGGTGCAAGAAATGTCACACTGCCTTATTTTTGTTAAATCAACAGCAGTTAGGTCTCTGAGCCGTTGTCCTCTGAACTGGCAGGAAACTCAGTCCTGGCGGTTATTTTGATGCCTTCCTTCTTGGGGTGACTCAGGGCCCAGAATATGGACAGGGCTTTAGTCTTTAGTTGCTTGTGAGCCCTGCTGATTTACTCCTCGACTAAGTTTGTTCAGTTCTGAGGGGCTGGAGGTTCTGCTGCAACTCTGGCCTGGGGGCCTGGCCAGGCTGGGAGCCTTGTTGATTTCTCCGTGTAATGTGCTGAATGTAAGCTCCACGAGAGCAGACTTTTTTGCTCATCATGGTGTCCCCAGAGCCCAGAAGCTAACAGACATTCAATATTTATTGAGCCTAAGTAAATGTTCAGGGACTTCATATCTCCCTCCCGAAGATAGCCGGGACACGTTCGGAACCCAGTAACTTCTGTCTGCTGCCCTGGCTGGGCTAAGCTCCCCTCTCTTACAGATGCTTCCCCAACCCTGCCCCTCCACTGTCCCCTCTAGGAGGTCAGAGGACAAAAGCATGGAGGTGGCTTCTTCAAGAGGCCTCAGCCTTCCCCCTGGCCACATCCCCTGCCAAGGGAAGGGATCTTTGCTACCTGCTTAGAGCAGGGTTTAAAAAAACACAGTGAGAACACAAATTAATACTTCAACCAATTCCTCAGGCCCAGTCTATTTAGTTTCTCCCTACTAACAGTTACTAGTTTCCTAAAGTAGACCCTCACCGCTTTTTTTTTTAAAGATACGTTTTTATTGAGTTTAGAGAAAGAGGAAGGGAGAGGGAGAGAAACATCGATTGGCTGTCTCCTACACGCCCCCATCCCGGGCATGTGCCCTGCCCAGGAATGGAACCAGTGACCTCTCGGTGCATGGGGCAATGCTCAACTAACTGAGCCACACTGGCCAGGCCAGACCCTTACCACTTTTTACAAGGACTTCTCTGCATTAGCTTTCTTTCTGGTCTCCCCAAAAGCCCATCTTCCACAGTGCAGTCTTTCTAAGGTGCTAATTGGGTTGTGTCTCTCCCCCAGTTAAGATTCTTCCATGGCAATCTCAAAGGGAAGTGGGTGTGGGGGGTGTGGAGTGGGACGAGATTAACCAAAGAACTTATATGCATATATGCATTGCCCCTGGACACAGACACCAGGGTGGTGAAGGACTGGGGCAGGGTAGGAACCGGGTGGATAGAGGCAAAGGGGGGAAAAAAGGGGACATCTGTAATACTCTCAACAATAAAGATTAAAAAAAAAAAAAAATTCTTCCATGGTTCTCCACAGCTCTCAGCTGAACAACTGAGCATGGCCTGGCTTCTGCCTGCTTCCCTGGCTCAGAACCCCAAGCCCCAATATCACCCCACATAGCTCTCTGGGATGTTTCAGCATCTCTGTCTTAGCAGAGGTCACTCCTTCTACTTAGGACACCCTCCTCCCCATTTCCCTCTTCTTCTAGGTAACTCCTACGTGTACATTAAGACAAACCATACAAGTACATGCCTTGTGCGGCAATGTAACAGGAAGGACACAAGACCACCTGAGAAGCCTTCTTGACAAAAAATAAATAAAAATCAAATCTGTATGTCATCAAACCTCTAGATCTAACTACCGATTTACAGGAAATATGGGGAACAGAGGAACATGTTAAATGGCACCACCAAGAAGCAATCAGCCAAATCTTCCAATGAATGTGGGAAATTTCATAGGACAAAGTACCTGGTTCCACCGACAAAGAGCAAAGAAAAAAGGCAGCGGGGGGAAAGGTCTACAAATTAAGAGAGACTTAAGAGACACACCAACCAAATGCAACGTGTGGATCTGGTTTGGATCCCGAGTTGAATAAATCAGCTTTAAAAATAATGATGAGATCATCTGGGAAATGTAAACATTCACCACACATCTACCAGGTGATAGGAATTACTATTATTTTTTTAGATCTGGTAATGGTATTATCATTGTGTTAGGAAAAAAAGAATCCTTATCTTTTAGTGACATATATACTAAAGTGTTTATTGGCAAATGATATGATCTCTGGAATTTGCTTTAAAATAACCCAACAGGGTTGGGAGTGAGGGTTGTAGATAAAGTAAGATTGGCTGTAAATTCAAAATTACTGTAGCTAGAGGATGGGTGCTCTGGGGTTCGTTACACAATTCTTTGCTTTTATTTATGTTTGACAGTTTCTTTTTTTAAAATTTAAATCGTTTTTTATTTTTCAATTACAGTTGATATACAATATTATATTAGACTCAGGTGTACACCGCAGCGATTAGGCATTATATAACTTACTAAGTGATCATCCAGATAAATCTCGTTCCCATCTGACACCATACACAGTTATTAGAATATTATTGACTATATCCTTATGCTATACTTTACATCCCGTGACTGTTCTATAACCAATTTGTACTTCTTAATCCCTTCACCTTTTTTCACCCATCCCCCCCAACCTCCCTCCCAGACACTTTCAATAATAAGGGATTAAGCCCAGGTCACTGTCTCAGTCTGCTTCAGATCCCTCCTCTGGGCTTGTCAAGCCATCTAACGTGCTGAAATGCAGTCCTGGGTTTACCTCTCCATCCTGAGGGCAGGGACTGCCCTGGGTCCCCTCCATCTCCCTGGAACAGAGTTCCCAGCATGAATGAATGGATGACTCTTAGTCTTGGTTCATTTGTGACTGAGTAGCTACATCCCCAACTAGCAGTTAAGTTCCTTTGATGGCAAAGCCAGGCCATGTTATGCAGATTTGTTCTTTGTGCTGAGTGAGGCACATAAAAACGATGAGAGTTTATGACATCTGCCTCTCAGTGGCCGGGGTTGGGTGAGTTCCCTTGAGAGTCCAATTGCTGGCTGACAGGCGCTAAGGAGCTGGTGGGACAGCTGTTACTTTCTACTTCAGAGTCCAAAGGCCTGGCTGGTGTATCGCCCCGGGCAAACCCAGCTCACACCCTGCTGGACGAAGGAGGAAAAGCCAGAGGAGCCAGATGCCTTGGATGACTGGGAACACCAAGTAACACGACAGAAAGCTCTGCTCAGGCAAGTGGCCACCAAGACCTAGTTAGGAAGCCTGTGGTGTGAAAAATAGCTCCTGAAGAACCTGTCCCCTGTGACTCGAGCCCCAAGGATGAAGCTGCTCAAACTGCTGATTTTCCTGGCCCACTGGCGAGTGGCGAGGGCTGGACCAGGTAGGCGCTGCAAATGCCTGTGATGTCTTTGTTTTGTATTAGGAACTCAGGATCCAGGTTGCTGGAAGCTGCTCACAGAAAGCTGGAAGTGCTGCTAAAAATAGCAAGGCAGGGAGCTGGGCAGGGAAGCAGGTGAGAGAGTTAGCAGGTGGTAGGTGTATTGTTTGACTTTGAAGATTGTAAGTGGAGGCGACAGCTGGCCAGGGGAGGGACACTGACTTTGCTAAGAGGTGTTGAGACATAAGAGCCAGCCAGCTGGTAGAGGGAGAAGGTGGGCGGAAGATTTGTGAATTCACTGGACAAATACTGGCTGAGAGCCTGCCATGTACCATGAGCTATTCCAGGAATCAGAAAATGAAGGAAAACAAGCAAAGCCCTAGTCCCTGAAGCATCCCTTCACCAGGAAGAAACAACCCAAAAGACACATGTAAATGCTTAGTAGTCTAGGAGATAGCAAGTGTTATGGGAAATAATAAAGCAGAATCAAGGGAGGGTCGGGAGGGGGTGTTTGTGGGGTGGCCAGAGAAGAGCTATCTAATAAGTGACATTGGAGCAGTGAGGGAAAGAGCCATGTGGACGTCTGGAGAACATTCCAGTAAGAGAGGATGGTCAGTGCACAGGCCCTGAGCTGGAAGCACAGGTGATGTGTGAGGACCAGCAAGGAAGCCAGCACGGCTGGAGCGGAGTGGGCAAGGGGGCGGGAGAGATGAGGTCAGGGAACCACGGGGGTGGGGGCTGGCACCAGCTCATGTATAAACTTGTAGACAATTTAAGGAGTCAAGAGTGAAATGGGTCATCATTAGATGGTTTTAGGCGGAGCAGTGATGTGATCTGACATGTAAACATTGAAAAAGAACCTCGGGCTGTTGCACTGAGAAGAGACTGTAATGCAATATATAAAGGCAGGGGAACCAACTTATGTTGGTTTGCCTGAGACTCTCCTAATTTTAGCACTTAAAGTTTGCTGCCTTGGACACTCCTGCTGTCCTGGGCAATCTGGGACGGTTGATCACCCTAGTAAAGGAAAGGCCACCAAACCAGGGGGGAGACGACTGCCATCATCCAGTGAGAGAGGATGGCAGCTCGGCCTGGGGTGTAGGATCGGAGGTGGTGGGAGGTGGTCTGATTCTGAACTAGACTATTCACCGATGGCGGGTGTGAGAGAGGAGGACTCCAGGGTGGCTCAGAGATGCCTGTTAGAGGGTTAGGTTTCCATGCAGTTAGATGGGAGTCAGTGGGAGGGCTGGACCTGCAGTTTTCTGAGGATTCTTGACTGCCCCTCTCTGGAGTCTTTTGAATGAAACTTTAGAGGTGATCCAACACCCTTTCCACAGCTGCAGAAATTGAATTGAGGCTGAGAGGGGAAGGACTGGCTTAGGGTTCTGCTTATTGCTTGTCCCTAGTCATTCGGTCATCCACTTCCTCAGGCCCTACCCAGGAGCAGCTGGGAGACTTGACAAAGCACTCTGCCAATGTGGCCGGGCATCTCAGAGGCCAGTGAGGAGGAGATGGGAGGTGGGGGCAGGAGACCAGACTAAAATGCCTGGGAAGGACTCAGATCCAAAAGCTGTGACTTGAAGATGGAAATATCTCTGGGACAAGCCCTCAGAGGATGTATCATTCCCTGTGAAGACAATCGGCTTGGGAGAAGGCTGGGGGTGGCGGTCTTCCTTCCACTGGAGGCAGACACCTGGCTCCCCTCTGGGAAATCAGATCCCTGCCAGTCTGACTGGAGGCTTGGAATGACTGGAAGACTCTTCCACTCCCTCACTTTCACTTTTAAATATGTTTTCTTAGAAACCCAAATGCCAATGGGCAACCCCCCAGGCCAGGGTCTTAGTGGTGAAAAGGAATCTCTTCTCCCTGTTTGTGATACTAATGAGAAATGGTAACAGGAATGGGATAGCTCAATAGATTATGGTAAAACCTCCTGGTGGAACAGATTCAAGACACTATAGCAAAATTGAAAACAATAAGCAACATTTATTAAGTGCTTATGTGCTACACACTGCTGAAATTTTTGCATAATACACTCACAACAGCCTTGTGAAGTGGGGATTATCAAGGAAACTGAGCCTTAGAGAAGTTAAGTAACTAACCCAAGGTTACACATCTAGTTAATGCCTGAGCCTGGACCTGAACTCAAGCAGTACAATTTCAAGCTGTTTTAAAATAATGCTATGTAAGCCTGGCTGGGCGTGGCTCAGGGGTTGAGCATCGACCTAGGATCCAGGAGATCGGGGTTCGATTCCCGGTCAGGGCACATGCCGGGGTTGTGGGCCCCATCCCCAGTGGGGGGTGTGCAGAAGGCAGATGACTCTCTCTCATCATTGATGTTTCTATCTCTCTCCCGTGTTTATTGAGCTAACCTTTGTTTATTGAGCAGTTATGACGGGCCATGCTTGTGCTAGGTGCTTGATATATGCTCTTTTTTAAAAAAAAAAATGTTTTCCCTCACCCAAGGATTTTTCCCATTGCTTTTCAGAGNCAGACCGATGACTCTCTCTCATCATTGATGTTTCTATCTCTCTCCCGTGTTTATTGAGCTAACCTTTGTTTATTGAGCAGTTATGACGGGCCATGCTTGTGCTAGGTGCTTGATATATGCTCTTTTTTAAAAAAAAAAATGTTTTCCCTCACCCAAGGATTTTTCCCATTGCTTTTCAGAGAGTGGAAGGGAGAAAGAGAAACACCAATGTGTCAGGATTCAAACCTGGGACTCAAACCCAGGACCCTTCAATCCATGGGCCAATGCTCTAACCACTGAACCAAATCAGCTAGGGCTTCATGCAGCCTCTTTTTAAAGTCTATTTGAGACATGAAATAAAAAAAACCTTTGATTTTCCTAGTCCCTGTAAAGTGGTTTCTATTGCCATACTAACCGTTTTGCAGAGGAGGAAAAGGAGACTCAGAGGGACCCGGCACTTGCCCAAGGGTCCACAGCCAGGAAGTGGCAGGGCCAAGCCTATACTATTGACCTTAAACAAATAGGAAGCCAGATATTTGTCCAGCAAAGTGGTTTTATTCAGGAACAACAAAGAATTACAATTCGGGACGTGTGGCCTAATGGAGAACTACAGTAAGTCCAGAGAACAAAAGACACGCAGGATTTTTTTCTCGAAGAAAGGATTTCACAGGGGCTGTTGTAAGCAAGGAGCCCATTGGAGGAAACGGGTAGTGCCAANACGAGGAAAAGGAGACTCAGAGGGACCCGGCACTTGCCCAAGGGTCCACAGCCAGGAAGTGGCAGGGCCAAGCCTATACTATTGACCTTAAACAAATAGGAAGCCAGATATTTGTCCAGCAAAGTGGTTTTATTCAGGAACAACAAAGAATTACAATTCGGGACGTGTGGCCTAATGGAGAACTACAGTAAGTCCAGAGAACAAAAGACACGCAGGATTTTTTTCTCGAAGAAAGGATTTCACAGGGGCTGTTGTAAGCAAGGAGCCCATTGGAGGAAACGGGTAGTGCCAAGTGCAGTGGCTTTTCATTGGCTGAGCTGTAACAGTCTTTCATTGGCTCAGTGGTTGCCAGGCAAGAAAAAGATCCTCCCTCCTGCCGGAGTTGCCGGCAGAGAAACACCTGATGGAGATGGAAAGTCAGTCTCTTCCGGTTTTGGGTAATTGACCGCGAGTGTCAGGGTGTGAGAGCGCCCCCTGCAGGCCCTCCCAGCTCCAATTTAAATGAGGTTTCTGTTTATTAACGTTCACAACACTCGGCTGCCTTATGCATTATGCCGTTTGATGTGTTCTCTTGGGATAATGGGTTTTATAGGTACTTTTTTTTTTCTCTCTTTTCTCCAGATTTCTGGAATGTATACGTGTATAATTTTAAAACAAAATTAAATTTAAAAAGAATTCCACAGCACCTGTAAGTTTTTACAGAATCTGAGTCTCTTCCTGAAGTGCAAGAGAACTTTGGGACAACCAGTCAGATAGCAGTCATCCCTGCTTTGCATAAAACTTGGGGTTTCTACCTCTATCTCCCCTAGCCAAGAGCTTGCGTGGGACACCAACTTGTTGTTCCTTATTTCTTCCCACACACACACCCTATACAACACTGTTATCCTTCAGCTTCTAACTGGACANGGACACCAACTTGTTGTTCCTTATTTCTTCCCACACACACACACCCTATACAACACTGTTATCCTTCAGCTTCTAAGTGGACAAAAACAGACACGCTTTTTCAGTGTGGGTCAGCATGGTAGGAAAACATTTCCCTCAAGAATGTTAAGCCTACCTCATGCAGCTGCTGTGGGGAAAGGGCAACCCACGTAGTTAATGCAAGGGCTCAGTAAATGCTGGATTTCACAAGTGAACCCTCTGTGTTTTGGCGGGCCTTAGTTTACACAGGAGGAATAGCAATGGAAGTGTTTGGGGTTATTGCTTAGCATCAAAAGCAAAGGACGGAAACAGGAGCCAAGATCGTTTGATGGTGTGGGTTATACACTATAACAGACACATGAGATCTCCCCTTTCCATCCACACAGCCACCCTTTTGCTATTGACATCCCTGTTTTTACAGATAAGGAAACTGAGGCTCGGCTGAGGAAATTTCTTGTTCAAGCTGCCTCTGCCTGTGTGGGGGAACCAGGATTCAAAACAAGACTTTCCTAATTTCAAGTTTCATTCAAGCCCTTTCAAAAACAACCCACTGCCTCAAGTCAGAAAACCTGTCTTACCTTTTAATATCTATGTGACCTCAAGTCTCTATTTCACTGTCTATAAAACAGGGATATCAGCAGATGAGAGATTAAATGTGATAGCTAAGTAACGTCACGCACATACTTGGTAAAGCTCTGTAAAAGTTTAAGGAACCATTTTTTAAATATCCAAGATCACACTGGTAGCTAGTGGCAGAGTAAAGTGCACCATGGTCATTTCTGTCCTGACTTGATGTGAATCACACATCTGCTGCTAACTAGCTCAGTTTCCTCATCTGTAAAATGAGTCCCATAATAGAATGTATTTCATAATTTTGTCCTGAGGCTGCATGGGTAGAGTGCTTGTCACAGCATCTGGCATTCTGTAGGTGCCAAATAAATGGCAGGTGTCTTCCTGCATTCCTTTTCTTGTCTCTGACCATAAGCAAACTCACTTTTGGCCAGTTTAAGATCATCTTGGGCTCTAGAAATTATTTTTGTGAGTCTTCCCAACCCCATCACAAATTATAGTAAAAGGAGCTCAAATTATATGACTTTTAATCAAATTTTTAATATTTGCTTTGCTTTTGAAATGATTTCTTGATTTTGATGGCATTGGCTTTTCCCACTTAAACTTTGGAGCCAATGCATTTTTTTCCTGGTCTCAGACATTTCCATGGGCCTTACAAAGCTACTAGGCCCTGGGCCCTGTGTCTGTCATCCCCAGTGGACAAGGGGGCCCCGTAACCCCTTTGATGAAGGAGGAGGAGAGCAGCAGACTGTGTTGCCTGCCCAGGGACAGTGGGCAGAGCTGAGCTCTCAATATTAAAACTAGAGGGTGCACTGTGGCCAGGAGACAGGATCTGTCTTCACTTTGTTCTGCTTCATATGTCCTGCCCCTGGACCTGCACCTTACCTGCAGAGGACAACAGCTGAGGGGACGCTGGGGCAAACAGGGGAAGGACACAGTCACTTCCTTAGGTCCCATCTCCCTCCTGTGGTAAAAGGGTGACTTGCAGAACCTCCCAGGGACCAAATTCAGAGTAACTGCTGCACTGCATTGCTGACCTCCGAAGCTTCATTTTCTTATTTGCAAAATGAGGATGATGATGAATAACACCTCCAGCACCGTGGGAGGGTGACTGTATAATGACCATGGGAGGGATAGAGATTTGTTTTGTCAGTCATTTGCACCTTAGTATGAACAAGTTTCTGCTTCTTTCCTGAGACCAGGTTTAGATCCAAAGAGGTGGGCAAAAGCTCTAAAGCACCTGGGAGGAAAAGTCAAGAACTGAGGATCAGGGGCCAGACTTTAACTTCCAGCCTGTCCTGGGCCACCCTGAATGTCCCTGAATGTGGCTTGGGTGGCACCCTGCTCTCTAACCCTGAAGGCAACAGAAGCAGGAAGGCCAGGCCCAGGCCCAGTTTCCTGAGGCTGAGCAGGTCCTGACTGTTGGCCCTGAGAGACACAGGAAATGGAGGCGGAAGTGACAGCAATGGTGGAGGGTGAGGAAATCCCAGGCCTCACCCTCGTTTTAGCCAGAAACACAGGACTTTGGGCAGAGGCCAAACCTGTTCAACCCTCTTCAATAAACATCGTTGGAACTACTTATGTCAGGCTTGGTACTGGGCGCAGATGATGAGTCCACTCCGTGTGGCCTGTTTCTTTGGCTTCCCTTCTCTCTGTTACACCAAGAGAATGCTGGCATTTCAGCCTCCCTTGGTTTGGAGCTGAGACCAGGTTCAGTCAACCTCTTCAGTAAACAGGACCACTCCCAGCTGCCCGAGCTGCCACCCTGCATCCAGACTCACTGAGTACACCCACAGGAGGGATCCAGCCCAATCTGAAATTATGTTCCTTCTTTTCTGGTCTAGCATTCTTAAATTCTACTTCCACACCTCTCCCCCAGGGTTTTGGTGGTATTAATTAGCAAGATCTTACAACGCATTTGGTGTGTAAGCCTTCTTCAGACTTTTGTTTGTATTTCCCTGGGGTATGATTAGATCTGGCTCTAATTATGGGCTCAGAGAGGTGAAGCAACTTACCCAAGGTCACACAGCTAGTATTGTTGACAGAGATATTAATAGGCCAGATTTCCCTGTCACTCGTGGGAGTGGGGTTCTTGGGTACCATTGAAATAAGCATTTTCAGAAGCCCCCACGGGAGAATGAGATGTGGTAAAAAACTTTAAAGTCCCATGCCCCTTAACCCAGTTCTGAAAAAGGTGCAGCTGGGGTTCCAGTAGAGCCAAAAGCAGGGCCAGTGTCCAGAGCTTCCATTCCATATTGCAGCTGGGCCCAGGTCAGCATCAGGCTAATTAAAGTCCATTAGTCCATTGTGCGGAGTCCACATGGCCGTGAGCCACGTGGGCGAATGCAGGGGAAGGCACCCCCTGCAACAGGAGTCCCAAGAGAGCTCGAGAGTAAAAACCAAGAGAGTGAACTCCCTTTGTCTAGGAGTTTAAATATTCAAGTTTAGAGCCCTTGCAGTGGCCACACCTATTCTGGCCACTGACTTGTTCCCAGGTGTGACTGACAGGTAAGCACCTTCCCACGTCACTCAGACCTTCCTGGGCATGTGTCCAAGCTGCCTTTGTCCAGTCCCTTCCCCCATGGATCAGCGGGGAACAGACGGAGAGTGTTAAATTACAGGTCTCTAGCAAAGCTGTATAAATGGCATGCCTATATTATCTAGTCTTCCCTTTACTCCTTTCCAGTTAAACAATAACCAGATTATTACAACGGTGTCAGTATGCGGCTCCGTAGCCTGGGTGCTTACCCTGCCTCTCTCCCACCTTTGCTTTAAGACAAGCATTTTGCTTAGAACTCCCAAAGACGTCTTGAGGGTCACTCCTCAGCTCAATTCCTCATACTGCTGCTGGGAACTCCGAGGTGGGGAGATGGAGAGGGCCTTGTCAAAGGTCCCAGGTCGGGGACAGAGCTAAGCCTGTGCTCTGCTCCACTCGATGCCTCCCTGGGCAAGTCCCATGGCCGATTTTCTCTGGACCCTTTCACATGCACAACCTCCCCTGCTCCGGCCCACTGCCTCCCCATCCGGCTCAGGGAGGGCCCAGCACTGAGGAGGGTCTCCTTTCCCCGGCAGGAAAGTTCTGGCACGTCTCTGACCTTCACCTTGACCCTGACTACAAGGTATCCGCAGACCCCCTCCAGGTTTGCCCATCAGCAGGCTCCCAGCCGGTGCCCAACTCGGGCCCCTGGGGTGACTACCTCTGTGATTCCCCCTGGGCCCTCATCAACTCCTCCATCTACACCATGAAGGAGATCGAGCCCGAGCCCGACTTCATCCTCTGGACAGGGTGAGAGCCGTCACAACAGCTACCCTCCGCCAGGTTCTGCTGGGTGCTACCTGCTGCCTGGCACCTTCCTGCACTATCCCCTTCCTCACTTGAAGCTCAGAGGGCCCCCGGGCGTGGCTGATTCCTCCCCTCCGTGTCTCCAGCTCTCACTGAGGCTGGGGAGAAGGTCATGGCACATCTGGGCACGTGGAAAACTCCCCAGTTTCAAGTTGGGGGATGAATATTGCAGCCACTCCCACTGGGACTTAGGGACTGCAGCCCTAGAGATCCCGATGCAGGGATGGGAGGGTACGTCTCATTATTCCTGTTTTACAGATGAGCTCAGAGAGGGCACTCAGAGAGGTTAAATTACTAGCCCAGGGACCCACAGCAGGTCAGTGGCAGAGCCCGGGTTTGAACACTGTCTTGTGTGACCCCCCAGCTTCAGCCTGGCCACACCTCTCAGTTCCACAGCCTCTTTTCTCACAGCAGAGCCCCCACCCCACCCCTTTTCTCTTTGCCCATCCTGAGCCGCCCACACCAAACTAGCTTGGTGGTGTTTTGCAGTGATGACACGCCTCATGTGCCCAACGAGAGGCTGGGAGAGGCGGCTGTGCTGGAGATTGTGGAACGCCTGACCAAGCTCATCAGAGAGGTCTTTCCAGGTAAGACCCTGCTGTCGGTTCCCCCCAGCAGTTCCTGAACCCCAGCTGGTGCCTGGCACCATGGGACAATAGCAGCAAGGTGCAGAGGAAGGGCCTTCATTCATTGACTATGATGGCTGTGGTAGAGTCCCACGCCAGACACTTCACGGCCATCATTCCTTACCTTCCAACAACCTTGCAAGGAACATGAGAGCTCACTGGCCTGTGGATGCACCAGAACCTGTTCATGGAAATGCCTGACATTTCACTGCCTTCTGCCCTCACACCAGACTCACAGCCCCTTCTCAAGGCATCTACAGTTATACACAGGCATCTTCCCTGGGTAAGTCTCGTGTGGGCTCGTATACAGCCTGTGTCCTGCTGTGGCTCCCGAGTTACCATCCATGGCCCTCAAACCATCTCAGCTGCTGGGACCTCTGGGAGATGCTGTTTTCCAGCCAAGGTGCTATTGCTTGGTGCTTCCAAGACCTTCCTTCAGAGCTTGGGAGAGCTGGCGGGGACTGTGAGTGATTAGGGCTGCAGCCCCGGGGATATGACAGGGAGAAAGGGGTCTGCGTGCCTCATCTAATGGTCCTTAAAAATGTGTTTTGTTTTTTTTTAATTTTTAAAAAATATATCTTTATTGATTTCAGAGCGAGGAAGGGAGAGGGAGAGAGAGGGATAGAAACATCAATGATGAGAGAGTCAGATTGGCTGCCTCCTGCACACCCTCTACTGGGGATCAAGCCCGCAACCCGGGCATGTGGCCTGACCGGGAATTGAACCACAATCTCCTGGCCCAGCCAGGCTTGAAAATGGTTTTAACGCAAGCTGTGCCAAACACAAGGTATCAGGGGCTGAGTCAGGCTCTCGGGCTGCCAGCTGGGACCTGTGAAAGCAGCCCCCAGGCCCCCAGCCCCAGCTGTCCTGGTACAGCTGCTTCCTTTCAAGGTCTCAGTCATGGGTGCCCAGGACCCAGATATGGAATAATGATAATAAATAATATAGCAGCAGCAATAACTATATGTATCTATGTATTGAGTGCTAAGTGTCAGGCAGACCTCTCAAAATATGTCTTAGCTCATTCATTGTCATGATAATTCTAGAGAGGTGCTGTTACTATCTCAGCTTTACTGTGAGAAATGTGAGCCTTGGTCAAGTAAACTGGCCAAGGTTATGTGGCGAGGGGGTGGTAGGGGAGGAGGGACGCAAATCCTGGTTGGAAGGACCCAGGCCCAGTCCAGGCTCTGCTGTGTTCTAGCTGGGTAATCTTATTGAGACCCTTTTCTCCCTGGGAAAAATACAGACAATACTGGTACCTGCCCAGAGGGTTGTTGTGAGGATTAAATAAGCCAACCCATTCACTCATTTAGTCAATCAACAAATATTTATCAAGCATCTATTATGGGAGACACAAGTCTAGGGATAGGGGACTTGGCGGTGAACAAGATGTCAGGTCGTGACCTCATGGAGCTTGTAAGGAGCTTCTAACAATGCCTGGCACATAGAAGCAGCAAAAGGGGGGGGGG